AGATACATTTTATGCAATTGGCCTTTATTTCTTTAGTTTATTAACTGATCGATGGAGTCTTATAAGTCCATAAAGTAAGTTTTTTTTTTGTCTGTTTTTTGTTTTGTTTTTTTTGGTTTTTGTTTTGTTTTTGAAAGGAGAAGTTACTGCGGGAGTTAGATGCAAAATCATTCTTAGTCTTTGTCTTATTTGACCAAAATGTGTCTTAGTCAATTAATTGTATTTATATTATTAAGATTTATATGGAACAACAGCAGAAAAGAGAGTTTGCTGAAGATTTGGTATATTTTGGTATTTAAATGTAAAACTGCAGATTCATAAAATGAATCTGTCTTTATATAAAAACATTCCCATACTAGTGTAGTCTTTTGAGCGCAGTTTGGTTCTGATACAGAGCATAGACACACTCCTTTTTAGGTGATTAATCGATTGGCAGGACATGTCTTTAGTCGACTACAGCCCTAAATACCTGGGAACATTCCACGCGGTCAGTTTATAGTTGCCAGTGGAAAAGTTAAGCAGTGCCTATTTAACTAAATTGGATGGATTTCAATTATCCATTATCAAACTGGCAGAACAACAACTATTTTCAGAATGTAGTACAACATTACAGAAAGAAGGGGGGCTGTCATTTTGGTCAAATCTATTTAATTTCTCTCTTTACAACTACTACTCCAGGCCAATAGTTTATTCAGTAAGTGGAAGATCAGCTTTGTCTTCTCGTTTCCTCCTTTCAAACTTAATAAATGTGTTTTAATGTACAAATGTACATACACATCACCAACTGAAACACCACAGTGAAGTAAAAACAAGGCCTTTCCTGTTGTGTGCACCTGGTTCTCCCTGGACACTGCTGTGATGCCGCAGGACACAGAGAAGGAACTCTTTTGGCTCTTCCACAGGATCTGCTGACCCTACCTGACAGTGGCCAGTCTCCCTGTTAAACTGCCCCGAGACACAAAGGAGACTGAGAAGCACATTGTAAATGTTGCTGCAGAAAAACTTGAATTTCCCTCAGGATCAGTAAAGTATTCCTCTTACATAACCTTATGTTATACCATAAATACTACTTTTCAATATATGTCTTTATTTATTAATCTAATAACTCATCCTCATCGGTTGTTGCTGTGAAAGCCTGTTTAATTACAATTTATACGTATTATAATACCTTGAATTTCCCTCAGGATACATAAAGTCTCTCTCTCTATTTCTGTTAATCCATATGATGAATCAATAGCATCACATAAGCACGAAGTTCTGTGTTGTTCTTTTTGACACTCACACTATAATGAAGACAAAAAAGCTGATGTATAACTCACTGGCTACTCCTACATTTGTACCCAGATGTGTGGCTAGATATTTTTAGTAAAACAAACTTTAGTGTCTCGGTAGGGGGGCTGTTGAGCATCTCCACCTCTGCAGGAATGTGAGGTGAAAGGGCTGACAGGCTATTTCTTCTACAAACTCCTCTCCAGCGCCCCAGCTCACTCAAAAATGTGCCCCCTTCACACGCTTTGACCCAGAAAATAGGGCCCTCTCCGGGTAATAATGAAAAACACCCAGCCTCTTCTGCCCCACTGACACCTTCACCACCTGGATCATATAACGGTGCTGTCCCCTGTACTCTCACGGACCATCCTAACACAAAACAGTCCATGCTAAAAGTCATTATATTAACTGGGCACACTAAGTTACAACACTGGGGCTACATCAGGCATGAATGAGAAGGTAAAATGCTGTTCTGGCTAAACCTAGGCCATAGGAAGAGAATTATAACTGAAAACTGAACTAAACCAAGTTACACCAAGGCAAAATCAGGGTGAGGACTGAACTTAAATCTATACTCATGTGACCAAGAAAGAGTGATTTTTTTTTTACTATCATTATGGTATCAGAACTGGTCTTGAGTATTGAAATCGAGTTTGACATTTTTAGTGAAATATTACTACTGCTTCATTATTTGAAAAATGTGCTTTTCATGCCCATATTTTTAGTTCAACAATTAATATGCTTATTTTTGTACTGACTTTTAAAATGATAATCTAGCTTCAGTACTAGTTTGCGTATGGATTAGTATCAGATTTTCAGTACTTCACAATATTGTCATGTTTGTTCAGGACTTGCTTCAGTCTGAGACCAAGTAGCAAAAAACCATCTTGAGGAGTGGACCTTGCTGCCGGCCTATGAGTAATCCAGGTTAATTAGTCAAATCAAAATGCTCTGTTCCACCTTGTGATGTCATGTAGTGGTGGTTTTCAAGTTAACAGGTACTTTTTTACATTTCGTTTAGTAGAGACGGGCAATTAGAGGGCTGAAATCATAACATTTTTGTTATGAAATATAAAAAATTGTGTGGTATGGAATTGAATAAATTATGCAGATTGCATCATAAAGTACAGTGTTGTATTTATGAGGACCCCCTTGAAAACGAGATGGTGACACATCTCAAGGGGCTTATCCTCCAAACAAATAAATTCAAATTCAAATGAATGAGGTACATAATCAAAAATACCTGCTGTATCAATAATTTGTTGTACAAAATTATGTAAAAATATGAAGACTTCATAGATTCATCTAAGAAAGTAAATGTTCATATTGAAGAATCACTAACAATATTTAGTCAATTCTTACACTAATCTTTTAGAAATTGACGAAGTTGTTCCTCCAATAATAGAGAAAGTCACGTCCACCAATGCGGCCATTTTAAAACTGTCTACTCTGAGCCTGTTATTTACTGCAGCTGACAAGTATTTAATTGTATACAGCAGGTTTTCAGGAAAAAATATTGATTATGTGGGTGGAGCAAAGGTCTCAGAATGTTGTTTTTCAAATATGATACAAATGGCAGCTTTTCAGTTTTTGGAAATAAAGAAAACAATAATCTCAACATTAATGTCTTCATGTGTTTTATGTTCTTATACATTAAAGGTGCACTATGTAACTTTTTGGTTGGGGGTCTGTCACCTGCTTGTATCTATGGATGTGTCATTATTCTGGCTGGAATGTTCCACAGTGTGACATTAAACAGTCCTCCCTTATATTTTTTCTATTACAGTAGATGTTATAGCTCAAATATACCTAGAAAAACAGGTATTCTGATTGTGAGTGGGGCTGCTTCTCCACAGATCTGACTGGTTTGGTCTCCATGAAAATTGAAAGATTTAATACTGTACTGTGAAACCTTCCAGACAAGACAAAAAAAGATACACAATGCACCTTTAAAACTCTTTGCTACAACTTCAGATGTGAGGACCTATAAACTTTTTTGCAAGTTTTTGTACCCAGAAGTTTGCTCACCCCTGCCCTAAAGTTAAGGATTTTAAGTAGTAGGAGTAGCTTCCTTGTACTGCTCAAGTCAATATTACTTACTGAGATGGCGTGAGTTGTGATCAAAGTGAGACGAGGCTGAAGAGATAAACAGGTGTCTGGGATAAACTGCTTTACGAGACTCAGAGGTATAATGGCTTGAGCATTTGGAGACCTGGGAACCTCCAAACCAGACCTGTGAGGGAAACATTCACAATTAAATATTATCATGATTCATTACACTGGTGTTTAAAATGACAACAAACAGCTGAACATGTACTTACTGAAGCTCGACTATCAACTTTTTCCTAGTGATTTTTGTATTTTGTGTTCCTTTTAGAATTGGTTTGGTTCTTAAATGAGAAAAACACAGCCAAAACATCCAGGTCAGAAAGCTGGGGTTCACATCAATTTAGTCTATTTCATTTTTTAGACATATTGTGATGTTTTGTTGAATGAAAGTCCATGCACACTGCCAGCAATGATTTTCTTATGCCAGTTCTACATATTATTTATACCAGTCTGTTTACTGTATTTTGTATATGTTTAAAGTATTTTACATCGGCTTAATTTGTGAAAATCGGTTTAAAATATGTGGTTGTATAATTAGGTCAAATGAACAGTTAAGCTATTTAAAGGGGCATTATGTGACTTTTCTTATAGGAAGTTTTTGACTCAATGAAAAAACTGAAGCTCATTTGAACTGTGAGTGAGTGACCTCTCCTCAGATCTGACCTGTAACATGTTTCAGTGAGGAAAGATAAGATTATTATGTGGAAAATTTCACGTAACCATCAAAAAGTTGCATAGTGGACCTTTAAAAAGCTCATATCCCATTGTCTGATCTATTATAATGTTGTTTTCCTAATCAAAAACAGACCTGGAATTGTGTGTGTGTGCTCCATATTTAGGCTGAGTTCTTCTCTCAAACAGAAAAGTGGATAATTTCAGCCCTGGAATTGCCCATCTCCACTAAACAAAGGGTAAAAGGTAGCTGTTAACTTGAAAACTACCGCTTCATGACATCACAAGGTGGAACAGAGCATTCTGAACATTGCAAATCTAGTCAAACTTTACTCAAACATTTGCGAATGAAACAAAACACAAGTCTGGATATGTTTTTTGATGAAGTAACAACATTCTAACATGACTTACAGCTCACAGTAGAGAATTGTCCGTAATATAGAACCTTTAAGTGTTGGATATACAATCACTATTTATTCAAAGTTAGCTCTGAAATGTTTTAAATAAAGGCTTCTAAACCAACGCTAATTTGTGACTTTATAACCACTGAAAACATATTCGACGAGACATCCTTGGTTTGGGTTGGCCATAATAAAACTGTAAAACGAGTGCGTAATTATGGAAAATTGTTATGCACTCAGCACTAATGTTAACCAGTATAGTCACATTTTCTTTGTGTTTTGGTCATTTTTAAGCAGCTTTTCTGTATTTCACCTAAACAAATGACAATGTATGTCTCTCTTTACCGTTGGCAGGGATCAGATTGGTCAAAAATAGGAACACCTGGGACATTTCTTGTATAAAATTGGGCCAAATCAATGGTTTTGGAGAAATCTGATGAGTCAGGAGAAACAGGGCTCAAAAACTGGGACTGTCTCGGGTAAATAGAGGACGTCTGGTCACCCTAAGTAGGTTACATCTCTCATACAAAAAGTTGGTGGTACACACTGTTCGCGCGCGCAGATGTGGAGTGGCGAGCACGTGGTGTTCCTTAGCAACAGCCCTCCACTTCACCACGTTCAGATTCCAACTCCTTTTGAGCCTCTCCGGTTTCTACTACTACTACAACAGCTCCTACTACTACTACTACTACTACTGCTGCTGCTGCTGCTGCTGCTGCTAGTGGTGGTACCGCAACAGAGGAGCTGAACTGGAAACTCCCCCTCACCTCCGCATCTTTCCAAACAACTTCTGAATTAGCGGTTTTGTCATTTTGCGCTCTCAACTCTTTCAAAGCTGCAACAAAGTTCAACCCCACATCAGTGGCGCTGCATAAAGTTACCTGCATTGGGGGAGATTGCCACATGCGCGAGGAATACTGGATGGTTAATGTATTTATATAGGTAAACTACTTTTATCCAAACGCGGACAGGGTGCACATGTGGATCAGAGCGATGCTGTGGATGTGACGGACAGCTGCTTCAAACACGGTTCACTGCTTTCAGCCACAATGAAAGGTAAACTGCATTAATTTGACTTGTACTGAACACATTTTATCCATAAAGTTAATGCAATGGTTCGGCGTCTTATTTACGCACACTTTTACGCACGCTACACACTTTCTTTGTGACTCCGGGGTGCACTTTGTTTCTTCTCCACTTGAGACGTAAGGAATGCGTGGGCTACAACTCCACGTCTAACATCTGGAATCAATTAGGTCTCTCCGTTTGGAATTGTTTTGCATCTGGTTACCGCTGCTGCTGCACCACACACCACCTAAGTTGTATAATTTACGCAAACAATCCGGAATATATTCAAACGATTTCAGTGCATTTTGTATTGATTTTCATATTCTTTGCCTTCTTTGACACTTTTTTCCAATTGCATTTATTGCGTTAGCTTACTTGTTAGCTCACTTGAGTTTATTAGGAGTTTTTCTGCTTTATTGTGATTAGCTGTGGCTTTCGCGCGTTGATCTTATTTGGAAAGCTTGGACAAAACTCAGGAATGCGCATAACTCAATTCAAAGTTGTTGGTAGTATAAGTTTTTCAATAGGCTTATATTATATTTCATCCGTACTTAAAAGCACATCTTACTAACGATGCCTGGCTTTTCTTTGCAGTGATTACTTTACCCTATACATTTAAAACATGATCAGTCAAGTGCACGCACTAGTTTGTTTTTCTTACTGCCCTCTAGTGGTTCACAACATGAAATATATCCTCCAAAAGCCTCTGTTTTTCTCATAAGATTTTGCTGATGTCATTGGCGTCTTGGTAGTTTCGTGCAAGATGGGACGCACATCTGCTTTGTTTATAACTGGGTGGAAATGTTTTGACATTGTTATACTTTATCTATGCTACTAACTATGTATCCAACAATTTCTAATGACGTTTATAGTGCTTTGTGTCTGAACTGAGAGTTTAAAGTCCTCTCTGCGTCCATGTGTGTGGTTAAGATTTTGTATCCATTCCCATATTTAGTAATCTACTTAATCAGCTGTTGAGTTGTTTTTATTATAATTTACAGATCTTGATTTATACAGAATTGACTTTTGTTGGTTTTAAGCCATGTTATAATGGTGTTACCTCTTCAAAAACATACCTGGAGTTGTGTTTTGTTTCATTCACACATGTCTGAGTAATCCTTTATTATTAGTCTGTCTACACCTCCAAAGCTCAAAACGCTCTGTTCCACCTTGTGATGTCATGAAGCAGTAGTTTTCAAGTTAACAGCTAGCCTACCGATTACCTTTAGTTTAGGGTGACCAGATTTTCAAAATATAAAACTGGGACACACTCGGGTTGGGATGGTTGATGTAAATAAAACTGTGAAAAGCGAGCGTAACATTATCCATTCTCGACTCATTTGTGGGTCAGTCATAATCTGAGGAATTTCTGTCAGTATCACTTTCAGTTACAGTTTTCTGTGTTTTAGCTTAACAATTGACAATCTATCCCCCTCTTTACTGTTGGTGGGTAATAAATTGGTCAAAAATAGGGACATCTTTAACATTTTCTTATAAAAACTGGGACAAATCAGTAGTTTTGGAGAAATCTGCTGGGACAGGGGACACAGGGCTCAAAACTGGGGTTGTCCCAGGTAAATAGGGATGTCTGGTCACCCTACTTTAATTCAGCAGAGATTGGCATTTCTGGGGATGAAATCTTCAAAATGATTCTAGTGAAGGTGCATGAAGTTTAAAAACACAGTGGAGCACTTCCTGTATTACCACATGACGTCACATGTTTGAGTAGAGGAACTCAGCCTAAATATGCAGGATTTGTGTATTAAACATACAGTAGGCGAATGAAAAAAAACACAATTTTGGATATATATTTTGATGAGGAAACAACATTATAACATGGATCTGAATATGGTATAATATGGGACCTTTTACCTCACATTTGGAGTAAGAACATTCCTCCTTCACTCATATCTGGTTTTATCATTTGACTTTGGTTTTCATAGCTTTCACACCTCTTAAATCATCATGGCTGCTTGTTTAAACTGCACCATTACTGAGATTAGATTTACCGACAAAAAGCTTACAGAGATAATTCAACACTTTTTATTAATGATGATGACCATGATTGTGGCAGTAACTTATTTCTTATTTTTATTTAGACGACTTTGCTGATGAAGAGGAGGTGCAGTCCTTTGGATATAAGAGGTTTGGTAAGTACACAGTGCAGTTTCAAAAATTGCCAGTGATAATTTTGTTTAAATCTAAAATATTCACGATGCTATGACGAGGAGATAGTCTTTGTTTTTATTTACATCTATGGACCAAATCCCATATTATTAGAATTTTAAAATTTTTTAAATGTATTTATTTTTTCTGAGTACCACCAGCACTAAAAATTTACATATCAAAACTACAAATAAAACAGAGCTACTGTAAGTTGAAACATGTCCACTAAGGCTGGGTGTCATTAAAAAGTTGCCGATACTATATATACCTCGATACATAGGCCACGATACGATACATATCTCGATACATTGCCCTTTCAATTCAATACAATATATTTCAAAACAATTTGATACATTCCAATAAAAAATAATGTCTAAATCCGGCTGTGATACGAAAAGTCTTTGTTAAGCCACTTCTTATGCAAAGTTCATATGAAACACAAACATTTTAATCATCAGAACAGTAAAAATGTCAAATGTGTTGCATAAATGAGTTTCCTTTCTCTAAATAAGCAACAAAACTGTAGCTCTGTAACAAAATAAATTTGTAAAATATACCTAAAATACTCTGGGTGATATATTGATACAGCAGACCACGATATCGATGCTGTATCATCACATTAAATTATACAATATATCAATATTTCGATATTTTTGCACACCCCTAATGTCTACGCAGGCAGATACTAATTGATACTAAAACTAATAGAAACTAGATACTCCTAAATACCAAAATAAACAATAACTGAACTAGGGATGCATAATGGTATTGAATATTTCTGCACCATACTGAAAAATTTGCTGGATCGGATATCAGCTGCTAAATATCAATTCTGTCGATACCCTGGTTGGTCATGTACATGGTTATTGCAGAAAGTTTTAAAAAGTTTGAAGTTTTATTGATACAAAGCTTTTCTGTTGTTTCTTGACAGATAACTAACAGCTACATTTTAATCTGTTTTGTCTTGTTTTATTGTTTGTTTAAAGGAAATACATGCTATTTTCAGTCTCTGCACTGGTATTGCTCGGTATCAGCAGATACTTAAAGCTATGGTATCAAAATCAGTATCAGAACTGTAAAAGCTGGATTGGTGCATCTCCAAACAGAATTTTCCTGAATACATTTAGTATTGTCTTGATCTTTATTAGAACTAGTAAAAGACCACAATGTAATAATAAAGAAACTACAGTTATTTAGTGCTTTATTCTCTAAAAATGTTTTTCTGTATCATCATGGTATTGTGATTGGTGTCAAAATTGTAGTTAATAGTGATATACTCCCTCCCAGCGACCTAGTTTTGAATCCTGAGTAATACATTAGTGATACCATTTAACTACATAGATATTAAATAGGATGTTTTTGTAAAATCTTTAAAACCTATTATTTGCTTTGGTCTGTTAAAACTAACGTTAATCTCAGACCACACCTCATTTTGCAGGACCCACATTATTTTTGGCTGTTGTTTTAAATGTTATGTGCTTATGAAAACAGTAAAAGAGCTGCATGGAGAAACCACTGCATCCTGTGTGTTCTTGACCACTGATATTCAACCCAATCGAGAGCGGGCTAGACTGGACCAGCAAGGCACAAAAATGCACAAATGTTAAGTTCATTATAACTGAAAACCTTGGGAACTTCATGTAGCACCCCAGAGAATATTCAGATTTGCCAGTGCTGGTCTTAATGAGTCTTAAATAGGATTGTGCATAGTTTGTTACAATCAAAAACTGCAATTTTACAACACAAACTCATGATTAAACCAGAATTTAGACCTTAACCTAAGACCAAAGCTGAACTACAGCAAACCTGGTAGTACAGTCATCTTATAACTGGAAGGTTGATGGTTCAATTCCATCTCTGACAAGTGTATAATGTTACTGAGCTCTTGGGGAACACATTTCACTCACATTTCCTGTATGAATGTGATATTTTTGGTGGTCAAGTCATAAGGTGCAATTGGTATCCATTAGAGGTGTAACGATATCCCAGTTTCACGATATGATAACGTCACGGTATGAACCTCACAGTACGATATTTATTGCGATATCGTAGCAAAGCTCACGATATGATGGGGAGGCTCACGATTAGGGATGTAACAATATAAAAATCTCTTGGTACAATATTTTCTTGATATACATCTCTGCGTACCATTTTTATTGCGATATTTTGTGGGGCTAACAAAACTGTTAATATGCCACTTTTTCCTCTTAAAATGCCTTGACAAGACTTAATCCAAAGAACTAAGATTTAAAAGTGCTTAGAACTGTTCTTTCTTAATGTAGTCTACACTGAAATGGAGCAAAGGATCATGGTCTATGTAGTTCCCTCTGTCTTTTTTTAGCTATTGCTGCACCATAACTCTTTAAGCAAAGAGACTTTTAATTCGATATATTGTGATGATCCACAACATTATTTTGAGAACTTTGACGATACGATATCACAAGATTTTGGTTATTGTTACATCCCTAGTATCCATCTAGACTTTCAGTTAACCCCAGGACAGCTATGGCTACAGTAGATACCACCACTCATTTTGGGAAGATAATACAAATTTTATTACCAAATGAGAGCTAACCTTGAGCAGATATGAAATGTCCAGAAAACCTCAACTAATGGGACTACTACAATACAAAGAAACTATTACTACAATACTGTCGATTGAGCTAAAGATTTAAAGTAGCATGTAGTGTTGTCATGAAGATTTTAAAACTTAATTTCGATACTAAAGAATAGACTTGACACTCAATTCCGATTCTGATACCACAGTGATATGGAAAATATGTTTTATTTACACAATAGACTGTGATTTTCAACATCAACTCTTTATATTGTTATGTGGCCTTGGGGCTGGGTGATATGGAGCAAAAAATATATCTCGATATATTTTGCTATATCTCGATATACAATATATTTATCCATATCTGTACAGGAAAAACAACTCCCCAAAACTACTGCAAAAACGAATATGCCAAATTCCAGAAAGTCTTTTTTTTATTGAAGTGCAAGAGGTAGGCAGTTCATATAGGAATCAAGTGCTTCTGCCACATTCAAGATTACAAAAAAAATCCCTAATTATATAAATAATAATTTAACTGTAAAATAAAAGAAATAATACATATTGCCTTCTATTCATTCATCAATAAAACATCTCAACTCAAGCTCATCTTTGCATTAACTCTGTTAACCGTATGATAACCATGAGCTCTTTTAGCAGAGGACGCTCGGGACTTTCCTTATTTTAACAGATCCATGTTCCTATCCAGCAGTAAGGAGCTATGAGGTTTCCCACAATCCACTGCACAGATCAAACCCAACGTTTCCAAACACTATTGTACACTGCAGCAGATTATTAATTAAAAATCTTCTGCATAAATAAACTTTACATTACTAAACTTTACAACATATAAAGCATAACGACTATAGAGCCACATCAGCCCTTTTGAGATTATATTGTGTATAATGCAGTTTTGCACACGTGTGTTTACGTTTTACAGAAACCAAACTTAAACCCACATGGCTCATTTGCATAAACAGACGCTCCTTGTGCCCTTCATGCGATTCAATTTCTTTCGGACTAAAGGACACGACTCAGTGGAATATGAGTGTTCTCTCTGTGACAGAGGATGTGCTGTGTGGAAAAGGTTCGTGGTGCTAGAAAGTTTTCACTGGCACCAACTTTCAGCATTCTGGGCGGTAGTGAGGAGTGAATGAGACACAAGCGAGCAAAATCAGGGAGGCGGGGGCGTGCACAGAGAAGGCAAACAAGTGAAATGGTCAAATCAGAATTGAATATAAGCATCATATCGATATATACGATATGTCAAAATCCATCTCGTGTTTAAAAAAATATCTCGCTATATTTAAAATATCGAGATATCGCCCACTTCTACTCCTTGTCCTGCTTAATTGTGTTTCTAAATGTGACTAATAATGTTTAACTTATCATAATCTTAAATATTAGCTTAATGTTGATCAGGTAGGCTACCATATTAAAACTACCTATTTCAGCATATGTGACTGACGTACCAGGCTAAATAGTGTAAAACGGGGCTTTCAAACTCAGTTGGAGCAGGGACCAAAGTGATAATATCAGCGTTGGTCGGGGGCATATTATATTATCATATCATATTATATAACGTATTATATATGACCACCAAACTATCATGCAGGCTCACACAGAATAAACTTGAATGCAGTGTAGTCTGATACATTTTATAAGGGCTGTATGATATGAGATAAAGATATTTCATAACTCTATGTTGTATCACAAACTATATCATAGCACTAACATTTTTTGACACAATACGGAAAGCAAAATTAAAGCACATACCAAGACCAAACTGGGTTAAAGGGGTACACAATAAGGAAATTGTGAATAAAATCTGCCATTTTTGCATCTACTTTCAAAACTCTCACTTCTTTTTGTATTGTATTGTATGAATTAAACAATGTGAAAAAACATCAATATTTTAAAATTTTTATTAATGCTAGGGTAATGGTTGGAGGTGTTCTAGCGTGGTTAATGCCTGAGTCCCCTCCTCTGCTCCTCCACTACAGCCGCTTTTGTGCGGCTGGATCACTATGACCTTTGACCTTTACAGTGAAACTTCGGGAAATGCAGCTTTCCTCGTGATGTGAAGGGTTCAGAATAGGGCTCCTGCACCTTTCTGGACAGTTTCTCAACATCATTAGTGGTTTGAGTGGTTTGAGTCTTTATTGTCAGTTCTTGTTTTTGTTCTTGTTTTTGTCAGTTCTTGTTTTTCTTTCAACTTCTCATAGGCTTTCGTGGTGTTGTGGTGTCTGACATGGTCTGACACTGTCTTGTTATACCTTATCTATAACCCAACGTTTCCAAGCACTACTGTACAAGTTACACTGCAGTAGATCATTAATTAAATCTTCTGCATGAATAAACTTGACATTACTAAACTTTACAACATACAAAACATAATGACTATAGAGCCACATCAGCCCGTTTGAGATT